TTAATATAAAAATTCATAAATAGTTGCAACTCAAAGTGTTGCAACTTAAGTTGCAACTAGTTAAAAATTTTAAAAAAAATTATGGGAACCATCTTTAGTTGCAATATATATAGGTTAAAACTAATGTAACATACGTTATAACATTAAAAGTTATCATATATTAATTATAGTTCTTATCTTTAATTATTACAAAAATAAAAAAAACTTATTTTTTTAATAATAAGAATGTTGTCTTTGACTTTCAGGATGGATTACACTATTAAAAAATAAGAAAACTTATTTTTTTAATAATAAATATTAAGTCTGACTTTGAGATAGATTACATTATTAAAAAAATAAGTTTTTCTTATTTTTTTAATAATAAATATTACCTCTGACTTTTTGGATAAATGATACTATTAAAAAAATAAGAAAACTTATGTTTTTTAATAATAAAAGCTGCTTTCAACTTTTAAAACAATTTGTTTTGTTAAAAAAATAAGTTTTGTTTTTTATTTTTTTAATAATAAATGTTGCTTCTGACTTTTGAGACAGATAAAAAAATAAGTTTTTCTTGTTTTTTAATAAATGCTACTTCTGATTTTTGAGACAGATTACACTATTAAAAAAAAAAATAAGATTTTATTATTTTTTAATAATAATTAATAATACTACTTCTGACTTTCAAAACAGATTATATTATCTTTTATATAATTTAAATCTATAAGAAATTTTACTTTACCACTTATTACTTCAATAAAAAAACAAAATACTGATAAATTATGTAAATCTATATTTTTAATTTTTAAATATCTTTACAAATATGTATTAATAGGTGCATTAACAGTATAAATTAAGTTTACTGAATATTCTTCTCTTTTATTGATGTAATATAAGCATACTATTATTACTCTAATTCTTCTTTATTATATATATTCTCTATTTTACCTTCATATTGAAAAGATAATCAAAAAAATTTCAATTTATTACTTGTAGTAACTTCTTTATACTTTACTTGAAAAAACTTGTGAAAAAATTCAACATTTTTATCCTTTTTTTAAAAAAAACTTTGTTATTAAGAAATTATCATAAAATAATAATATATTTTAAAACTCTTATATTGATATTAAGAAATTTTTAATTTTAGTATGTTACATTTTAAAATAATCAAAAAGCAAGACAAAAGAGAATAAAAAAAAATTTTTTTAATGATAAATTATATTTTTATATATTAATATATATATCGATATATCAATAAATTATTCTTTTTTATATACTTTACTAAGGATTACAATGCCTGGAGCTTGTATAACAAAAGTAACCAATCACATATTGACTCAACTTTTGAGTAGGAAAACAGACATTTTTTTATTACGTTGTATATTAAATTACTGACACAATAAACTTAATTATTAAACTATCAGCATAATCTTGCCTTTTGATCCGTGGCCTTATATGGGACAATAAAAATAATATTTTGTGAAAGATACAAGCAGATAAGAAATGCTAAAATGTATAAGATGTGTGTAAAAATTCATCACGTGATTTGATGTTAGAAATTCACAATCAATAATAAAATTTTGGTCATAATGCTTGACCAATATTTCTGTCTATATTATTTCGATATAGTAACGTTTCAATTCTGATTCAAAATAATCAGATTGATATATGTGAAGTGCTCATCTCATATTCATCCTTAAGTCAATACTTTTGGCAATTTGAATAACATACTATCCTTGTTTTATTGTTAGAATAAATTGTTTACAATTCATATTGGCATTTGTTTCTCATTACCAAGTATAAGGATTTCGTCTTTCGAAACTTGAAATCAAAATACAGAAAATTATCCGGACCATCCACGGATCTAACAATGCGTCATCGTATTCCAGCACCATAAAGACATTTACCTTTACTAAATAAGCCTGAGGGAGATAAAACCTTACTTTTTCGCTGTAAAAGGGACATACCATCAGAATATTATAAAAATTGATCAACAGTATGCCCTGAAGGTGATTATTACCGCAAATGAAAATAGATTAAATTTTAATTTTTTTTTTTTTTTTTGTTATAAAGTCAATATAAATATTTATTAATATATTACTTATATTCAATTTTTTTTCATTTTGAAATGTGGCCGGATTTTTGAACGTTTCACACGCTACTACTTCTGCTGAAATACTTGTCTCTGCATGACTAAACCCCTGAAATCTGACTAACTGATTCATCAGGATTAATTTTCTTTATCAAGTTTAATTACCCACTCATCTTCATTATCATCAAGTCTGTTGGGATTGAATTCTTCATCACTTGAAGTTTTTTCGGAAGATGTTTCTAAAGCAAGAAAATTATTAGATTTTTTTCTTGATGATGTTTCATAATTTGCCGTTACAAAATTACTATTTTAGCAATTGCCGTTATAAATTTATTATTTTCATTATTTCAGAACACAAAAATTATTGTTACCGTTACAAAATTTGGTGTTACAAAGACACTGCAACAAAAATCACAATTACAAAAAATTTGCGTTACAAAATACTGTGCCATTAAATTACTCAAAAATGACAGCCGCAAATTTATACTCATTTTTTAACTTCATATATTTATTTATTTACATCTTAAAAATACTGAATTAATAGATATTACAATTTAAAAAGAGCCGACACTTTTAAGTTGGTTTTCTTAGAACCGATCGAGCTCCTTTGTTCGACTCAAAAATGGAACCGATGTTCGATTCTGATCCGACTCTGAGTCGTACTATTTGGAACTTTCCATTCCTACTACACCCCATGTGTTACAGTATGTAACAACCATATTGCATCATTAATATCTTGTTGGGAAACAATACTAACACGTTAGTCATTGTTTAATTATCGTACATAAAGCCAACTGAGCATTCCTTTTTTTTATTCTTACAATTATTGTACGAAACATTATGGCGGAAATAAATCCTATCCATTATTATACAGAAGGTGGAGATGTCATCCTTCAAGTCGAATGTACTCATTTCCTTGTACACAAATCTTTCCTTTCACTCGCCTCAGGGTTCTTTAAGGACTTTTTTACTCTTGCAACGCCTAATTCAATTATAACAATTAACATTACAAACGCTAGTAAAAGTTCGATTCCTGTTATTGAGGTTCTTGAAGAAAATGTTATTTCAATTCAAGATATGCTATCATTTATTTATCCGAACACAATATTGGATATCAATTGGAAAAATGTTGAGAATTTGTTTCGAATAGCCGATAAATTCATTATTAGAAAACTTACAAATTCTTGTGACTTATTTCTTCAAAGCAACTTGATTGAGAATGTTCTTACCTCTTTTAGACTCGCAGATCAATATCGCTTACCAATCCCTTATAAAGAAGCGTCTAAGATTATTTTAGATAACTTTCTCAAATATGAAACTAAAGACGATTTTATGCAAATTCCAAAAAGAGCACGAGAAAGATTGGGATATGGCCGTTTTCTCTATCTTAATATCTTAGAGAAATTTTATTTGCGATTGAATAATAAGGGGGGTAAGATTCGTAACCTATGTGTTTATCCTACACCCAAACCATCATTTATATATAGTGAGTTTAGCTCTTATAACTTGAATTTTAGTGATAAAGAAGCTGAAATTGGAGCATTTTATAAAAAATTTCAAGATTATCTTTTAAAATTTGAGAGGTCAAATAAAAGAGACTCAGATATGAATTTCTACTTTTTTATCGAGTTAGAAGATTAGTAGTAACGTTCCTTTTCCATTACTCAGTACGTCATTATCCTTAAAATACTAGCATTACGAAGATAGCATTTTTATTTAAAAAAAATACGGATATGATTCTTATTTAATAAAGAAAAAAGAAATGAATCTTTATAACTGACAAATTTTAAATAAAAAAAAATGGTTTTCCATTAAAACATGACTAATTAATTAGGATTTCAAAATCCAAATATATTTCTCTAATAAAACATCTAAAATTATAATATTTCATTTAACGACATAAGCATTTCTTTATTGTAACTGTAAAAAGATCACATTTTAAATCTACTCACGTGACATTGTCAATTTTGGATATATAAAGCTGAACAAAAAATTTTCTTATTCATGCCATTGTTTTACATTCATTCTGGTAAGTATTATGCAAGGTTTTTAATAAAATTAATTTAAGCACCGCCTCAACGTCGACGCTCTGTACTCCGAAGTCTAATTTATTAAAAATATCCTTGCGAAATAACTGCGGCTAATCAAAATTGAGAAAAATGTTAATCTATCATGCTCTTTTGAATTGGTCAAAATCATCGTTTTTACACTTTCGTTTTCTAGTCATTTTGGCCGGCGGACAATTGGTCAAATCGTCAATTGGTCCAGTGCCTTTTTTGAATAAAATAACTTTTACAATAAATGCAGCCTAAGTACTTTAAATGCTATGGTATTGTATAAGTGATTTAATCCATTAAAATAATACGAACTATCATATTTATGACATGAATCTATGATAAAATAAAATATCTATTATTTGTATATTTTAAATAATATAATAATAAAAATTATCTTTTAATAATTTGAATTGGTTTTGCTTTTTTTTCATGTGAGTTTAATTTTGGATAATTGTTTAAAAACATTTTCCAATCTTTTTATTTAATAAATGAGTTTTAATCCCAGATCCTTTTGCATGTCTATATAATATTATACAATCGTTTTAAAGTACAAATTCATTACTTGATTTTGAATTAAAAAAAATATAAATCTTTCATAAATTTATCAATTTGTTTAATAAATTGTTTCCTATTTGCTGCACCATTTTTACCATCTCTTCTAATTAAATAAAATTTCTTATTTTCTTTTGATTCTTCAATATTTGAATCAATAACATCATTTCTTTATCTTGTTCTATTTCATTTTCTAAACCATTATCTTGCTCTATATCTTCAAAATCACTATCATCTTCATTATTTATCAGATGTATCTCAAATTCTGCTTTATTAATTTCTTTATAAATTATTCCCTATAAAAATTTTTTCCTGAATATTCCCATTATTTCTCCGTGGCTTCTGTAAAAATTCCGTGAAAATGAGTCTTTCACGGAAAAAAGATGGAAAATAAAACACGGATCACTTTTTTTTATAGGGATTGCATGCAAAACATAAAGAATATTTAAATTTTTGAGAAAAATCTGCTCATATGAATAAATTTCATTAGCTTCATTCATTCAGATAGTTGTATATTATTATAAATCTGTGATTTTTTTTGATTCATATCGATATACTCTATAATAGCTTTTTCTTTTTTGTATTTTTTGTATTTATCTTTTCATTTACAAAATTTAATAATTCATCACAATTCAAACATATTTGACATCAAAAAACAAATACCAATTTGTTATGTTCTTAAGACAAATAAATGTAATAGACGTGAAGTAATTATTTCGCGTTCGTTCCTTATAAAGAATCTTACAGTATCACAAGAAAATGTGTTACTTTACTGATTTTGTGTTTTTTGTCGATCAGTTGCAAAATCGGAAGCATAATAATCAACTTAACTTTACCAATCTGAAGTTCGCCCATAGCGAAGGTTTACAATTATTGGTTTTAGATGTAAGATATCACGTATTGTGTATTTCCTGAATGAATTAAACCTTTTCTTTCTTATTCAATAGCTCCCTTCCAGATTGCTGTATAAATAGTGCCAAAACCTCCTTTTGCAATATTCTTGACTTTAACAAATTGATCATAATCTACCCATTCTAATATTTGCCAATAATCTCTGGCATATATTTGTATAATTCATCAATAATTTATTTCCATTAGTCCAATTTTTGAATGCTTCTTTGAAACGATTGGAACTGCAATATTTACACCATGAGAAAGAAGACTTGGTTACATTCTATGCATAATCCATTAGCCCTAAGTGTGTAATGTAATTCTGAATTGAGCTTATCAATAATAATTGTGGTTCATTATTAAAAAAAAGGTTGAGAGAATAACAGTCATACGAAATTCATCTATAAAAAAAAAAAAAAAATACAAAAATGATTGAGATTTACCGACCCGTACTCCGTGTAACAAACATTTCTCTTTAGAAAAGACGGCAAAATTTAATCAATACATTTAAGTAAAACGATAATATTTCGGTTTAAAAAAAAAAAATATTTTTAATTTTTGAACGGAAAAAAATAAATAAATATGTCAATAAATTTAAAACAAATATTATTATTGAATATTTCACAACTTTACAATAATTCAAATCATTATGACGTTGAATTAATTATAGGTGAAGGCAATAATGTAGAAATATTTAAGGCACATTCGATTATCTTAGGGGCAAGGTCAAAGTATTTTAATGCCGCATTTTTTAGTGAATGGACAAAGAAAGAAAATGATATAATCATTTTTAAGAAACCGAATATTAAACCACAAGTCTTTAAAACAATTTTGAAGTGAGTAATAAAAGCTGTCTTTTTTTTTTTTTTTTTTAATAATTAAATTTTTTTTTCTTCAAAGTTATTATTACACTGGAAAGTATTCACTCAATGACATCAATACAAATCATATTATTGATTTTCTTATTGCTACTGACGAATTAGGCCTTGTTGAGCTATTTGAACCTATTCAAAGATATGTTCTTTATGATCAAACTAAGTGGGCGCAAGAAAATATTATTAAAATTTATAACGCTACTGTGATAACCGAATTGACAATGTTTCAATATTATATTAAAGAAATAATTGATTCACAACCCGAATTAATTTTTGAATCAAATGATTTTATTTCGGTGAAAGAGCGTCTATTAATTTCTGTTATAGAAAAAGATGAACTTGCACTCGAGGAAACTGAAATCTTTAATTATGTTATCAAGTGGGGAATGGGACAAAAACCCTCAATTAATACAGATTTATCAGAACTAACGCAAGAGGATTATGTGAAATTAAAAGTTCGATTAAGTGAAGTGATACAATATATTAGATTTTTTTCATTAACTAGTGACGAGTTTTATGAGATGATTTGGCCATTTAGGAAAGTTCTTTCTGATGATTTAATTGATAAATTAGTCGAATATAATCTTTGCACGAACGATGATATATCTTCGCAATTTGATTCATTACCAAAAAGGGTTTCGAGATTTGGTTCAAATATCATCAGCTTAATACGAGCAAATATTATATTAAATTGGATAGATCATGATCAATCTGGGATTTCTTATGACTATAAACTTTTACTTCGCGGTAGTCGCGATGGAATGGATATGAATACATTTTTTAGACTGTGTTCTAATGAGAGTTCTATTGTGGTTGTAATAAAATTAAAAGATTCAATGAAAATAATTGGTGGATATAACCCAACATCGTGGAGTTCATGTGCTTATAATTGGATACCCACCGACGAATCTTTTATATTTTCTTTTGATAATGCTAAATTGAATTGTAATATATTAAGCAGGGTTGAGAATGAAGATTGTGCGATCAAAAATTTTCTCGATGTAATTGGATTTGGAGATTTGCAATTTTTACCCTCTGGATCTTATGATCATAAATATTATAAAAATAGAATTATTCATAAGGATTTATTTATTATAGAAGATTATGAAGTATTCAAAATAATCCCTAAAGAGTAATCATATTAAAAAATTTTTTTTTTAAAACAATAAATAAATGATGCGATTATTCTGAATTCTAATGATTGAATAAAATAAAGAAAGATTTTTTTTCGAATGGGTATAAATTATTATGTTGAACGCGTTGTCATGCATAACAAAACTTTAAATTTTACTGAATCATTCATTTGCATGTTGACAAAAATTGGCTTTTGCCTTTTTGTTATATAATATTAAAGAAATGAATCGGTTAACAAATACTCGGGCCAATTCGTTGGGCTGAATGAAAAAAAAATTTGAAAAAGTGAAATACTTTACAAAAGATTATGTTTATTTATTTATGATGTTATTGTTGAACATTAAGAAATCTCGCACAAAAAGTGAAATATGTTCAGAAAGGATAAATCTCGACTAAATTTGCGCATAATAATAATAATACTCATTTCCAGTTCAGCAGCATTTCTAAACTTATTAAAATTATTGGACATGTTAAATTAACTGAAACTGAAAAATCCGTCCATAATGGCAATGTAAATTTTTGACTAGTTTATTGGACTCGAAAATTACCCGGTTGTTCAATCTATAATATCGAATTAAGATCGAGTAGTAAAATCATATGATCCAAACGTTCTTTAATAGCAATCCGCTTATATGCTTTTCAGCGGAAAAAACTATATGTGATGAGTTAAGTTATAAGGGTCGGATGAAATTTGTTAATATAAAATGCACAATAAGTCAAGGTTGGTGTCTCCAATGATTGTAAATTAATTTATAAATCCAGATATTTAGAAATATTATTGTAAAAGATTTTGCAGGGTATAATGTATGTATGATAATCGTGGCGTAAGATTACGACGAAGCTGAATTTTATGAATAATTTCCTATTGCTTCCTCAGTCGACGGCACTCTGCAATAGTCAACTTTCAATGAAATTTTAAAAGGCTTGAACTAATCCATCAAAGGGACTGAGTTGTATTTATCTCCATAACGAACGAATAATAAATCATTAAGGTATTTTTTTATTTTTGAAGATATTGATCAACTAAACCGTAGAACATACGATCATATGACTTGATTTTACTGCGCAACGTTCCCAAAATGCCTTGACATGATTTGCTTTAATCATGATGACAATAAGAATCTAAAATAGGTTGCTACGCCTAACTTTACCATATCTAGTTTTATGACTAATGCGCACTGTGGTGATACGTATCACGAAAAAAGATATTAAATTAATAAGCACTTTTTTTTAAAAATTTCAATTCTTTTTTTTTTCATTAACGAATTCCTTTTGAAGATTATAATACAACTTCATAAATTCTATGAACTTAATCTTATTTACTTATTACATTTAACAAAAAAAAATATATAATAATCATGACTCCTCAATTAAATTATGATTGTCTTGGTCAAATATTCAAGTTTATAATTGATGATGATGAAAATCCAGCATTGTTACATCCTTTTGCTCTTGTGAATCAAATGTGGTGTCAAGCGGTTATGCCATTTTTGTGGAGTAATCCATGGAAATTTTGTAAAGATGGTGTAAGGTTGTTGCCAATGAAACGCAATTTGCTCATTAAAACTTACCTCTCCTGTTTATATCAAGAATCAAGAGGGATTTTAATCAATGAACATTTTTTTCAGGAATTATTCTCAATCTCAAATGAAAATTTAACATCACAAGGAATGATTAATAATGATAGTAATATTGATTATATTCTAAAACGTCCGGCATTCGATTATGCAAACTTCTTACGTCACTTAAAATTAAATTCCTTGGCATACGCCGTCAACTTTTGGATGAAATTTAACCTTATCAATCTTTCAAAATCTCATTGTGTAACAATTCGTTACAATATGCTCGTGGAGATGATAAATTATCTCGTCGTTAAATCACCTTGCTTATTCAAGTTGGATATTAGATATTGTGATGGTGAATTACGTCAAAGTTTGAAAATCCTTACAAACCTTTTGGAAAGGTCTGAAGGAAGGGTTAAAAGTCTCTTGGAACTTAAAACTTTTGAATATAATGGAAAGGTTAAAGAATTACAACAAATTTTTAAGGTACTCTCTATAACAAGTCATAAAATTTTAAGGATTCCAGTTTATGTTAATACTTTATCCGAGAATCTATTAAATCTACTAAAAGTTCAAAAAAATTTGTCGGAAGTTACAATAACAAGTGATTCTGTTGAAACTTGGAAGTGTGAATGGGGGGATATTGAAACTATATATACGACCATAACCAAAGCTAATCTAATCACTCACCTAACGTTGGAAAACATTTTTATTCCACTTTCATTTGTTTCTTTATGTGAAAATTTAAAAGAATTAAACTTGATAAATGTTTATCTTCAAACAAAAAAGTATTGGGAGCCATTATCTACAACTTTCTTGCCAAACTTACAAAAATTTCATTGTGAACCAAAACTACCTGATATAACGTTATATCCTGATGTGATCTCTAAATTTATACAAAATTCATGTGAATTATCTCAAATAATATTAAGAGGAAAGGTTGAAGAATCATTTTCTGTAAAAGATTTGTTGATGACAATGGCGAATTCTTGTCCAAACCTTACAGTATATGAAGGACCAATTGGCTCTAAAGAAACAAATGAATTGAAAGGACTTTTAACATCTTGCAAAAACATCTCAACATTGCATCTACATTCGATAAGTATGAATGTTAATTGTGAGAATTTTGATAATTTATTAAATGAAATTTCACAAATAATTCCAAAAAAATTAAGAGTATTAATGATTAGTGGTAAATGGATAATTACTTCAAGTTCTTTAGAAAAATTTTTGAAAAGTCGAGAAAATTTATCATCAAGAGGAAAAATCAGTTTTTATTGGGGTTCCTTGGAAGGAAAATTTAGAAAAATTTGTAGGAAATATCAAGAAAAAGGTATTGTAGAAAAGTATGGAGATTGCTTAAGTTGTTAAAAAAGATATTACATAATGTTTGTAGAAAAATTCATATTAATAAAGTAAAAAAAAAAAATCTTTTCCATTGCTTTGATGGCAAATGCATTCGGATTTTTCAACGGTATATACGCACTTGGCTTCGCCGCCGCTTTTATACTTTTTGTAACTAGGCCAGCGCCAACTACTATAATAACATAAATAAAAAAGTAAGAACAAATATCATACGTTAATTCATTTGATTAGTACAATACTATACTAGAAATAAAATACAATAAAGTAAATAATAAAGAATAATTTAAATATGACAAAGTAAATTAGGTTAAGTCATAATCCACAAACCAAATACATTATAGAATTTCATTCCTTCTCGCAAAATTACATATATACGTGGAATATTTCAAATTGTCCATAAGTGAGATTGATTTCTGCTGCACGGAAATCCATCAAACTTCTTGAATGATTAAGGAACGTAAACCCGAAATGTGCCGTTAAGAAATTATGATTTAAAACCTTTATGGATGAAAAGAAAATATTATATGAATGAATCATTGAATTCATTCACTATTTCGAAATTAATCCAATATGAAAATTTTCAATTGTATTTACTTTTCATACGTATTACATAAGAAAATGCATGAATGAAAGGAATATTAAACACAAATTTCATTATTATTTTTATTTATTGACAATCAACAAATCACACATTTTTGCTTTTGATAATTTTTGTGCTATATTTTTGTGCAAATGGCATCGAATGCTTGATTTCCCACAAGTTAAAAAATAAATATCTTGTTTTCGGTTATATTAATCAACCCAAAAAGGCTATTCGAACGAGTCCATTATTAATCACTGCGAAAATTATGAAGGTAAAAACTTGGTTAATATAAATCACATGGGCCCCTGCAATAGAACCCCTGTATTCCCGCTATCTTTGTCCACCCAATTAAGGGACACTCACCGCCTTCAATTGACATTTATTATTAATTTTAGTATT